ATAGCGAACCTCATTGCACCTCTACCCTCACTGCCATCAAGCCCCATCTCCAGTAATCCAAACCCAAATGATTTTTGTTTGTTGACTTTGTACCTTGCAACTTTACTAAGTTCCTCTATTAGCTTTAGAAGTTTTCTTATGAATTCTTTGGATTTTTTAGAGATAGAATCAGATCATCTGAGAATAGAGATCATATTACTACTTTTCTATTATAGATACCTTTTGTTTTGTTTTTCTTGTCTATTCTGGCTAGGAGTGCTAAATGTTTTTTGAGAATTATTCTGTGTTTCAGCATTGTGCTCAGCATTCTACATGCAAGATCTCATTTCATCTTTAAAATTATTCCATGAATAAAATGCTACTGTTTATCCCATTTATGTTTAAAAAGAAAGAAAGAAAGAAAGAAACTGAGATGACGTTAAATGTAACTTATCAAAGGTAATACAGTTGGTAAATGATAAAGTATTAGAACATTAGATAATTTTTGTGAACCTTAAGTCCATTCTGTTAATCTCTACACTGTCTGCTATATGAATGGACATTTGTCTCAGTTTATTTTGGTGGATGTTTCCCTACTTGGGCTTCAAATAGGGCCTTGAGTCTTAGAAATTGCAAACGTCTTTAGAACAGCTGTTCAGTGTGTTGGCAGCTTGCAGCGATAACCATTGAAGGCAACCCAAGGATAAAACCTCACCTTACCTGCTGAGCCTATTTGGGAGAAGTCAAGACCTACATGGATAATGAGTGAAACCTCTTTGCAAGTTTTGAGTCCCCAAGAAAAATTTAAGATCCAGACAAAGATTAAAATTGAATCAAGCTCTCTCTCTTAGAGGTATAATAGCACTAACTGTAAGGAAGTTTAGTCCTTTGGACAAATCAGAGGATAACGCTTTCATTTAAATGAAATTGTGAGCTAGTGGCATGAGCATTTAAATACACTTGTTAGGAAGAAATCACAAAAAGGAAGGTGGTGGTGGTGGTGGTAATGGTGTGCTGTGGAGTCAATTCCAACTTATAGCAACCCTGTATAGGGTTTCCAAGGCTGTAAATCTTTATGGGAACAGAACGCTTCATCTTATTCCTGTGGAATGGCTGGTAGTTTCAAACTGCTGACCTGGAGGTTAGCAGCCTTACACATAACTACGACACTACCAGAGCTTCTTAAAAAGGAAGGTGGTGGTTGTTTTTGTTAAGTGCCATCAAGTCAATTCCGACCTATAGTGACCCTGTATAGGGTTTCCAAGGAGCAGCTGGTAAGCTTGAACCACCAACCTTGCAGTTCAAACAACTTTGCAATCTGACGTATTAGCCCACATCACCACACTAGGACTCCAAAATGGAAGGTAGCTGTATTTAATTTGCTTTTGTCTATAGGAGCAGAATTTCTAATAATACAAAGCCTGGGGTTTTTTGTTCCTTCTTTCTTCCTTTTCTGTTTTTTCTTCTTCCTTTCTTTCTTAAATTATTTTCATAGACATTAACTACCTTTCTCTCTTCTTTTTTTCCCCCTTTTTCTCTGTCACATATGTACCACTTCTGATAAACTCAACATCAGGCTGATTCTGATTCATGGTAACTTCATGTGTTACAGTGTAGCACTGCCTCATGGAACGTCCTTGACTGTAACCTTTACAAAACCAGATTGCCAGGCCTTTATTCACAGCACCACTTGTGTGGGTTTGAACTGCCAACTTTTAGGCTGCAAACCCATTGCAGACTGCTTAAGCCACAGAACACCAGGGAACACCTTTCCATTTTCCTTAGGGAAACTATTAGACATTAATTTAAAATGCAGTTTACTCCTTACTCACACTCTAATGCACCAGACTGCAAAGCCATTTGAACTGCAAGGTCGGTGGTTCAAGCTATGGGTTGGAATTGACTCAATGGCACTTAACAACAACATCTGATAAAGCTGCCTAACTCGAATGACACCCTGGATGAACTACAGTAGAAAAGAAACAAACCCACACACATCAAGTCCATTTTGACTCATAGGGACCCTCTATAAGTTTCCAAGACTGTACATTTTTATGGGAGCAGACAGCCTTGTCTTCGTATTTGTTTGGTTTGAACTGCCTGATTTTATGGTTGCTGGTGGTGGTTATGTGCCGTGGAGTTGGTTCTGACTCATAGCAACCCGGTACAGGGTTTCCAAGGCTGTACATCTTTATGGGAGCAGAAAGCCTCATCTTCCTCCCATGGAACAGCTGGTAGTTTCAAACTACTGACTGTGAGATTAGCAGCCTGATTCATAACCAGTACGCTACCAGAGCTCCTTGGCAGTCCTATAATGCGTACTGGTGGTAACTTTTTATTGTGAACATAAATAAAGTTTTACAGAGCAGATATCAGTTTTACCTTGAACAAATGTTATACTTTATTTCATCCCAATGATCACAGTCCCCTCCATGTAACAATTGTTATTCTATTTCCTCCCTATGATTCTTATTTCCATTTAATTTTGAATGGATGACCATTACATAATGAGCATACCATTATGCCACGAGGTGCCATAATCTCAGGTTCCTTCAGTCTTTTGGCCAATAAACCTGGTTTTGTTTTGTTTTTTTATACTTTTGAGTTTATTGTGAATCGAGTGATAAATTACATGGGAGGACATCAGCTTTACACTCATCCTATCATGTATCGTTTGATTGCAATGATTACAATTCCCTCCATGCATCATCATTCCTCAGTATTTGCTTCTATTACCTCTGTATTACCTCTGGGTTTTTTTGTTTGTTTGTTTGTTTGTTTTGCACGTACACCAAAACACTCAGGAATATGCAATCATTCAAACACCCAAAGGACATACCCTGCAAGCATGCCCCCTGGCCGCCACCCCCTGGCTGCCACCCCACAGCCCCTCTCCCTCCATGAGTGTAGAGTCCCCAGCTGCTCCATCTCTCCACTTCATCACCTCTGACTCCATCTCTGGCATCGCTGTGTCTCTGAATAGGGTCCCACTCTTCTCCCTTTATTGTCCCAGTATCCTCTGCTTATGGACTGCAAAAATCAACCACTTCCCT